AGTTTTGAAGTTTGAACAGGCCTGATTGTTTGGTTGTGTTTTTCTTTCCTACGAAATGTCGGCCTTGTATAAATTGTGTTTGGTTTACAGGAACGGGAGGTGCACTCTTTTGACCCGAAGACGTCAAACTTGTCAGGAATTACCGCATTTACTTAACTCGAAGCCTGCAACTGCAAGGAAACCAAGCTTGAAATTACTCCATCTTACACTGAGATAACGTCATTAATTGCCGTGAGTTTTTTGTTAGACTAGATGTGGATGTGGATTACCATCAAATAACTAACTAATGGGGACATTCACTCTTGTGTTAAACAGTTGGCCTGATCATAATATGAAGCCTAAAATAGATAGACCTCAATTTGTGTGTTATGTGATAGATTGGTTCGCGTGAACTTCTGTGTGTTTTTTGAGATATATCGAGCATTTATAATAGGGAGAATTGCAATTAGGTCCCACTCAAGGGAATTAAACGCAAAAAAATCCCTTGAAATCATGAAATTGTTCTGAAGTCCCAAGAGACCTTTTTGCAACAAATTTTATTTGTTTAATTACCAAATTACCCTTCTTTTTTTTTAACTTTGTATTAACAACTGAAAGAGCAGTGGTTGACAACTCAGGGTGCAAGGATTGACAACTATCGTGGCTGGTTTGACAACTTAGTCAATGCAAACTTAAAAAAAAAAAGAAGGGTAATTTGGTAAGTAAACAAATAAAATTTAATGCAAAAAAAATTTAGGACTTTAAAATAATTTCATGATTTCAAGGGACCTTTTTGTATTTAATTCCCTTGAGTGGGACCTAATTGCCATTTTCCCTTTATAATATCCATTATATGTATAAATGAATAATATATGTGCCATATTTCGAGCACACACATGTATAATACAGGATTTGAAAGTCCACCCATACACCTTGAGTTGCTTTGACTCAGGCGTATGACTTCTTGTACTTTTCATATCACCAATTTTTTTTTTAATATATTTAGTTTTGTCGACTTATCCTTGTTTTATTTGTGAGATATAATTGTTGGTAAGGTCAATTTGGAAATTTATGCGTTACTAATGAGCACTGGTAGCTGATTAACATTGACCTCGATATGTTTCGAACTGGTGACGGCTACAGGATGTGGGTAGAAATTGCAGGATGCTCAAAAAATTATGGGGAGTCAGTTTTTTTTTTTTTTGGGTATTAATATGCGGTTACCTTTTCCGGGCCAACACCATAAACATATGGATCTCTCCTGCCGACTGAGTTCCACAAGGAAGTGAGAATGAATGCCCGCAGCTGATGAAATGCAAAATGCAAAAATTTTGATACGTGTATCGCAATAAAGGCTTTAACTATTTGGTGTTGGCATTAGGCGGCTGTGACAGGGAGAGTCATGTGTCCGTTCAAGAAGAGGGAGGAGTCTCTCCACTCTCTTTCCTTTCCATTTTCCTTCACTTTTTATTTCAACCATCATATTGTGATTTTAACTGTCCAGATTTCATATTTTATAAAATCATAAACGAAATCTTAAATTTTTAAAAAAATGAATGAATAAAATTAAACTACTAAATTAAGACATGAATCACCTCAGTCCTCACTAGAATAAGGGACGTTTAAATAAATGCTTGTTTTGAATGATAACAAGGCTCTTAAAAAGACAGTCTCTTAATTGTGATTTGTGCAATACAACGTAACGCTGTCTTGGGCCTGTTGGCTTCGACCCGGGGGAAAATGCAATAAGGCAAAGGCAAGGAACAAATGAAGAACTGGGCAAAAAGGGGACGGGCCCAGATAGTCCGATCCCTTTCCCTCTCACTTTCAGGGGCCTCGCCTCTGTCTCGGCTTCCGCAAAACTATAGTTGTTCCGAAGTCACAGAGAAGCGCCATCATGCGACAACCTCGTGCTCCTCCCTCCGCCGCACAGTCGCAAGACTGAGATCCACTAAAAGCGATTATAGTAGTATTTTCCTTAAAGAAAATAATACTGGTTTAATTTCAAGTTTACAATGCTCAGGAGTCAGATGTTTCGAAAATAATTTGCGAAGAATGTGAAAGTTTGAAAATAAACATGTCCATATTATTTCTTTGGAAAACCTTATTTGAGGGATTATCAGGTTATTTTTGGTTATATATTTATTGATCATTGATATTGATCTTATCAAACAATGGAATGGAGGCCTGGCCTAATTTCTAGCACTAACGGTGGATAAAATTAATATTTAAAAACAGCAGCAGAGAAGACATGATAAACTTTTTAGTTTTTACAGAAGGGTGGGGCGTGAGTCCAAAAAAAAAAAGAAGGGTGGGGCGGTGGGGGCTGAGCGAAGGAGATCATAATGGATAAGGACGAACCACCGCCGTGGCATATCCCAGAACATGTTAGTGGAGGCATCCAGCGTGTCAATACCCCCCATCATCTGTTCCTATCGGGGCGTGTGGCGCACGCGTGGCCTCCCTCAACCCTTTTCCCCTCTTCAACCCCCCAAATTATTACTCCTCTTGTCCTTAATATAAGACCCGTTTAACTAATTTGATTAGATTAAAGAAGTTAGACAAGTTAGTTAATTATAAGAAAAGTGACACATTTTTCCTAAAACACCATAATCATCTTTCTTAATACCTCCTCTTCCTCTTTTTACTTGATTATGGTTGGAGTATTCATAGGGGTAATTTAGAGAAATTGATAAATATGAGAAAGAGCTCTTATATTTAGGACCAAAACCAACTCAAAAATTGGGTCCTATATTAAGAACCGGAGGAGTATTATATTTTACTGCCTTTTATCTTTAATATAAAATTTTATTTGATTTTTATTTTAATCTTAAATATAAGACATTAATTCATTTTATTTTTATATTTATTTATTTATTTTAAAATAGCACTTATAATAAATGACAGTTCTAACCAATAAACTTGATTAGTAAGTATATTTTTTAAAAAAAATAATATTTATTTATTATAAATAACTAACTTAGCTTACTGTTTCTTTAATCTACACAAATCATTCAACTACAAGATACTCCTCCGGTTCTTAATATAAGACCCATTTAACTAATTTGATTAGATTAAGGAAGTTAGGTAAGTTAGTTAATTATAAGAAAAGTGACACATTTTTCCTAAAACACCATAATCATCTTTCTTAATACCACATCTCCCTCTTCTACTTGATTATAGTTGAGGGAGTAATCATAGGGTAATTTAGAGAAAATTGATAAATATAATAAATAGGTCTTATATTTAGGACCAAAACCAACTCAAGAATTGGGTTTTTATATTAAGGACCGGAGGAGTATAAGAAACGGAGGTAGTACACTACGAAAATACAATGTTATGGTATTTCAAGGCCCCCCCCCCCCAAAAAAAAGCTGAAGGATATGGTTCAAAATTAAAAAAATGGAAAATAAAGAAGCATGACAAGATGACGATTTTGTAGGGACCATATCAAACGAAATAAAGAATTGCGTCTCAAGCTAGAAGTGACAACCCCTCTTTCTCAAATAAAATTGGACAAACCTCTAACTGGCCAATGGGAGGCTCATCTCAAATTCCCTGACCTGCTTCGCCAAGGCTACTTTTGTCCATAAATTGGGCCTTCCTGCTTCCGTATCGGATGTTCTTTCTTTCTGCCGCTTTGCTTGGAACCACGAAAATTAAAAAATTACTCCTCCGATCCTAATTATAAGACCCAATTAACTTATTTGAAGAGATTAAGGAAGTAAGTTAAGTTGGTTATTTATAATAAATAAGTGTTGTTATTCCTAAAATATCCTTGCTAATTAAGTATATTGGCTAAAACTATCATTATTAGAAGGATTATCTTGGAAAAAAATGCATAAATATAAAAGAGAAAATGGATGGGTCTTATAATTAGGACCAAATAAAAAGTCAAATTGGATCTTATAATAAAGACCGGAGGAGTATTAGAAAAGCAAGCCCAGTTTAAAATTTGATCATTCGAGGATGCTGTAAGGAAACTTCCCCATCTTACCCCTGGCCCATCCGTCCATCGCATGAAGAAAGTGGAAACTGAACCTGTTTGGGATCGCGTTACACGATACCAAACGCTCATTTGAAAGCTCAAACGAATTTCTGCCTAAATTTTATTGTTTGGGATCACAGTGGAGCAAATAGGCTTCTCATAAAAAAATCAGATTGAATGAGAAGCTCAAAATTGTTGCTTCTCACTTCTCAACCGTGGAGAGAGAGAAAAATAAAGATGAAAAAAGAAAAGGGTATTTAAATGGTCCCACTTAATTCAATAATTTTATGTTTATAAAAACATTATATGAAAAAAAAACAAATAAGATTTAATTTGGAGAGTTTACTTTTAATAATTTTATTTTTCTTACATCTTTTAAAATAGTTACATTATATATATAATATTATATATGTATTATTTAATAAAATTCATATCCTTTTAAGTCATTTTACATCCAAACTTACTTCTACATTTATCATCCAAATAAGTTTCAGCTTCTCAAACTGACTTTTTTTCAAAATCCAATTCAAACATAAATCACATTACCCTATCTGACTTTTATCCAATCTGACTTCTGTAAAAATCAGATTGAAAAAAAAGCTACTTCTCCATTGCTAATCAGAGGGGGTGTTTGGATAGAAACCAAACCATGGTTTCAGAAGTGCTTTTACGGATTACGAAGTAAATATGTGAAGGAGATTATCTCGTTTTACGAAAAAGTACTTCTGAAACCATGGTTTTGGGTTTTCCAAACACCCAACACACCCTCAAACGTGTAAGCTAACGTGAAAAGGAGCTCTTGCGTCCCTTCCCGGTCGCAACTCCACTCTCCAGACTCTCCAAATGCTTCAAAGGTCACGTGTCGGTCAGGCAAAGCCTTTACGCGTGTGGGACGAACGCTTCTCCAGAACCGTGTGGTAGGCGGAACTACACGTGTCCGGTAACCGACTGAGTTTACCGTTCTGCCCTCCTCCTCTGCTCTGACCCCTTATGTGGCGGTTCAACCCCTCCCTCCCCAATTTTGATCCCATCACCTCGACTTTGAAGAAACTGCAAGGGAATTCCTGAGCAAGAACCGCAGGAGGAACGCAGAGTGTCGTCTATTTGTCCTGACAAAACAACATTTAGCTCCAAGAGTTTCTGCAAAACGTTCAATTCTTGACGTTTCATCTGATTATGGTGGCTGAAGCAGACGTTGTTTATCAACAGAGCCTGCCTCTGTTGGATGTACAGTATATTCCCAAAGCAAGCAGTATTCATGAGATCGAAGAGCCACCCTTCGTCTCGCCATCATCCGGCCCTTCTGGTCCTGACAAACTTCGCGCATATGACGCAGTCTCTGCCCATTTACTGAATTCACAACAAGTGATTTCTTCAGCACCCTTCTCGTGTTTTCATTTATATCTTTCTTCTTTTCCATGACATGGACGTTAGCGAATTGTGAGCTAGTACTTTTGTTGTTTTTGCTTCCGATCGAAGGTGTTCACCACGTCGGTTTCGTTTTTAGTTTCTACCCCGTTCCCCTCGATTGCTTCATCAGGAACTTGTGCATATTATGAGCTTAGCTGATGAAGATACCTGAACTCTGCGAGGTTCATCTAGATTACTCCATGTTTGTTGTAGGAATACCATCCCTCCGGCACCTTTTCCTTCAGAGAGGCTTGAGCGACTTCCCGACTTGGTCCATGTAGTATCCGGTATCCGGTATCCTATAATTGCTTATATCTGTTCATATCAAATTTATTCACGGCAATTTAAGTATGGTAATAGAACTTGTGATGAATGTATGCGAGGGAAGCGGTCCCGGCCTGCTTCCCTACTTTTTAGGTGCCCAGATAGATTTTGGCACGCGGTATCTGTTGCTTACGAATGAGTGTTAAAAGATAGGTTTTCCCTGATTACTTTGTAAATGTTCGTGATTTTGCAACGTTACAAGAACTAGTATGTGACCCGTGCTACATTGTTAAATTTGAAATTATTTACTTTTGATTAGAGAATCGCAGGAAACTTCATGGGTTGTAGGACTGTTTAATGTGATGCATAAGTTATGCCAACTCTTACATAACTGCCTCCCATGCACAGAGTAAAATTTTCTGATTCGTGTTAAACTACCCTTGTGCAGGACGTTTTAGCTGCAAAACAAGTCCCCCGTGCTTCTCTTGATTCTGCTGTTGTGCAGTTTGTGCCCACCATCCGTTCTGGTAGTTATGCTGACATTGGGCCGCGTAGATACATGGAAGACGAGCATATAATGATAGATGATCTGTCTTCTCACCTGGGATCACTTTATAAGTTCCCTAAACCCAGTGCATTTTATGGGGTAATCAACTTTTCAGTTTTTAGCTTGTATGTTTTTTAATTTCTTGTAAATGTTTTAAATCTAACTGGTGTTTAACGAATTACTAGGTGTTTGATGGTCATGGAGGATCTGAAGCTGCCGCTTATATTCGTAAAAATGTGATAAGATTTATTTTCGAGGACGCCAGCTTCCCACAGTCATCTGAAGTTGATAATGTTTTCCTACAAGAATTAGAGAACTCCCTTAGGAAGGCATTTCTTTTGGCCGACTCTGCTTTAGCTGATGATTGTAGTGTGAGCAGTTCGTCAGGGACCACAGCGCTCACAGCTTTAATATTTGGAAGGTATCCACGCGTCCCCCCCCCCCCAAAAAATTACCTACTCCATTTGTCTAATGTGCTTGTTTCTCCTCTGGGTTTTTTGAGCTGCTTACCGTGAAGTTTCCAGGTTATATTCATTAATTTTCGATCTACTGTGTAGTGTTTCCCACTATCAATATCTGTATTGCCAGTCGCCGGCTACTTTGCATGCTTAAAATTTGTTGCGTTGCTGATTACTTTGGTTCTAATTTCAGGCTGTTGATGGTGACCAATGCTGGTGATTGTCGAGCAGTTCTTTGCCGTAAAGGGGAGGCAATTGACATGTCTCAAGATCACAGGCCTATATATCCATCGGAACGGAGGCGCGTTGAGGAATCAGGTGGTTTCGTTGATGATGGTTATCTTAATGGGGTGTTATCAGTTACTCGAGCACTAGGGGACTGGGACATGAAGCTCCCACGGGGTTCTCCTTCACCTCTGATTGCAGAGCCAGAGTTTAGGCAAGTGGTTCTAACAGAGGACGACGAATTCCTCATCATAGGATGCGATGGAATTTGGGATGTTATGTCAAGTCAGCATGCAGTGAGTGTTGTCAGGAGAAGCCTGAGGCGCCACGATGATCCGGGGAAGGGCGCCAGAGACCTGGTCATGGAAGCTTTGCTGCTGAATGCGTTTGACAATCTCACAGTAATTGTTGTGTGCTTCACATCCCCTGATCACAGGGAACTATCACCCGCCCACAGGTTGAGACATTGTAGCCTTTCTACAGAAGCACTTGGTAGCTTGAGGAGCTTGTTGGAAGGAAGTGCTAGCAACTGAATGAATGTATATAACAATTTGTCAGATACTGGCATCTCGGATATTTCATTTTCTGTTTTTCAGCTGCTTCTAGTTAAGAGATCAGGAAAAACAGCAAACCATTTTTTGGTCCGACGTCGGTTGATGTACATGGTTTAGGGTGTGGCTGACGGCGGTGTAAATATGAAGTCGAAATGATCCAGTTTTGTATGAATTTGTTTATTTTAGCGAATTTTTAGTCTTGAAAACCTCGTTTTTATTCTCGCCTTCTTGAAAGGCGAACTGGTTGCAATATAGGATGAAAAACGTGGTTTGATTGAAAATCATATAGCAGGCGGTAACTAAAAAGGCCACGAACCGACAGCAACATATGAAAGAAATAAAACTCTATCTTGGGAAATCAAGAACAGATAACGGCAAACAAGTGAATAACTAAAAGGCCACGCATGATATGAATCAAGATTCGTCTTAAAGAAGAATGAGCTATTGGCATTCAAAAGACGCTTCGTCACTCCACGGCATGATCATAATCTCCTCTGGCTTGTCCAATTGTTTCGGTACAATAGATATAAATATAAATCCCCGGGGAGCATTTGCAAGTGCAAACCTGATAGGGGGAAGAAAATATTCAAGACCTTGAGAGCAATTCTTATGCGTTATAGTTGTCATGAGCAAGATTACCTGTAAACATCAAGAAATAAGTAGTACCGAAAAGAAGGAGCCTTTACGGATTTCTGTCATAGCAAATGATTTTCTCCAGTGGATTTATCCAGAATCCAACCTAAATTTTTAAGCATGCTGAGCTGAAGCCAGAGCAAAAAGTAAAACTAACTTTAAGCATGCTGAGCTGAAGCCAGAGCAAAAAGTAAAACTAACTTCATACTCTATTTAATGAATTTGAATGTAGAATTGCATTTTCCTTTGATCCCATAATTTAGCAGGAAAAGGGAAGAGTTAGAGCACATCTTTGTTGAAGTCTTGGGAAGCCAAGCAAATGGGTAGATGTGGCTTCGTGCTCTCAAGCTTAGGCATTCGCTTCAATGTTCCAATATACTCCCTCCGGTCCTTAATATAAGAGTTTGTTGGACTTTTATTTTAGTCCTAAATATAAGACCTCAATCCACTTTGTCTCTCATATGTATTCATTTCTTTTCCAAAACAGTCTTTATAATAGTAATAGTTCTAGCCAATACACTTGATTAGTAAAGATATTTTAGGAAAGACAATACTTATTTATTACAAATAACTAATCTAGTTAGTTTTCTTAATCTACTCAAATTAGCCAACTAGCTTTTATATTAAGTACCAGAGGTAATATAATAAGATTAGAATTTCCATCAACAATAATAGGAAACTTTTTACTGAAAGTTAGCATGATAACTAAAATTTTTACGAAAATATAAAACAGTAGAAATTCAGGGGCGGATTTTAAAAAAAGAAAACTTTGAAGGTGTATTCCGGTGTCAAAGAAATAGGACAATCAAAATATAATAGGATGGTTACCATTTAGAAAGTCAGAAGGGCTCCGCCAGGCCAGGTGATTTAGTAGCTCTGTGCCAAACTAGCAAATCGTTCCAAGCCACGTCGCAGTAAGCGCTCAAGAAATGGTTGCAGTGCCTGCAAAAGATATTATAGAGGGAAGAAAGTCGGAGTGGATTAAAGCCATATTTAAAATTTTAAATGTCAATCTCCTGTCTTTCCCATTATTCTCTCTCATGACACGGGGAAAAGGTGACGAAATGGCATGAACTAGAACAATGTCTTTCAGGTTTGTCTTACCACCTTCCAATCGCTAATTCTGCCAGCTACCAAAGACATGGATTTTCTCTTTGTATTAACTAATTGTCTACTTCATAACTTCATTTTATTTACGTCTGACTACTTACCGATGCCACGGGAGCTAAGAGTTGAGGAACTTCGTATGATACTGTCAGCTGAAAAGGACAAATGCAGCAATAAGTGCTTGAATAAAGTTTGGCCTAGTTGAGATGTAAAACAGATGGAGAAGAGTCAAAGGGCTAAATATAATGGAAACGTGTTGATAGGAACAAATACAGGAAAATGATCCGTGACATATCTATGCATTTGCTCATGTGAGGAAATATTGCCAATAAAATTTTGGACAATTATGCTAGGGACATTAGATTGTGATTTAGATATTCGGTAAAAACTCAAGAAAACATCGTATAAGAAGCCTTACTTCTACTACACATGATGAAGGACTTTTTGGATAAAATCGAACAGCGCCCCTGTCATGGGAACAATCAACCAGTTAATTTTCTTTTGTGAGTACTAAATGATGTTTCAGCGCAAGATTAATTCAAAATCACAAGAACATTGTGGCTGTAGATTTCAATTATAACTGTAATGACATTGATGAAATTTTAACATGTAACCCAGTGGTACAGATGATTATGCAGCGTGTGCTTTCGAGCCAAGCTGAAGGCTTGAACAAAATATGTACGGCTTCGAATTTTGTTTAATCATGATAGGAGCATAGATAGACAAAGTGTGACTGTTGGCTACCAGACTTCCAGTCCAGGCAGAAGCCACCATGTTTATCACAGGACACTTCAATATCAAGATAGAGAGATTTGCGCAACTGAAACTTTCTTCCCAGCCTTGTATGTCCCGTGTCGCTTATTCTGTGAAGTACTAGAAATTTCGACAAAAGGAAATTAATCATGTTATTATTTCTCAGCCAAAAGCCTATCCTTGTAAATTACCTGTTAGGAAGACCTTCCAGTGATCGCCAGTGTATTTTCTGATTTGGAATAGGCTGCAAGAAGGTGAGATAATATTAATTAAAAAAATTCCAACTGACATTTAAGATAAAGCAAAGAAGACCTACTAAGAAGTTATAATAGTATTATAGTTAGGATGGTGATCATTTCCTGCATATTACGGGCAAGCCAAGAGTATTCGATGTCACGACCGAATGCTTTATACTTCAAGGACCACCTTGACAGGTCAGGTTTATCAGGCAAAACCTGTGAAATGAACTGAACATTTAGCCAATTCAAAAATCATAATATGACATTCAACTTGTACTGTTCTGGCCGTTTAGTCAAGATTGCTGGGTTTCAATATTCAAATTGCAGCAATTCGACCAGAAACAATAATGCACTGATGCTGAACTGATGGCCCACTTCACCCACAAGCCAAAGGGGAATGAATAGGTTTCAAACTAATGAACTGTCTCATTGGAGACGAAAATCCATTAAGCTTGTTAGGTTTCAAAATGTACTACCATCATTACATTTTATTGTCAAGAAAAATAGTAAGATGTGTATTACAGGTAACATGTGGCCAACTTCTCACCAGATCTTTATTCAATCAGTACATCTTGATTGCGTCTGTGATTGACTAAAAGAGACTGTGACAGAGCATTGAGATTCGATGTACGCACCGTAACAGAGGAAATAAAGGGCATCCACCGAGGGATGGCTTCACGATCAGAATAAAAATTATAGGCAGCTGAGGCAGGCACATCAACCTCCATCTTAACCCTGCAATTACGACATAGTTATCCTGTCGCCATCAGAAAATGATTAAGCTAGAAATTATACCAAAATCATGACAGTCAACCCAGGGCCTGCACATTCAAGTTGATGACATGACCGGTCAAATTCCCAAAATATGAAAATCATCCAACATAAATCGGAGAGAAGGCATTTATTGAGAAAATATAGATAATGTAAATTACTCCTCATCAGTCCTGATACACTTCCCACTTCCTTATTCTAAATAAAGATATTTATTTTTCTTGATCATGAAACGAGGAATAGATAGAAGAGCGTAAACATTTATCGCATAAAATACAAACGAGAAGAAAAGGGGAAAAAGACGGAGGGAGATCAAAATTTGTGCGGGAAGAGGAGTTACGTGCAATCCTGCCACTCCATGACAGGGGAAAAGCGCCTGAAGCCATGGAAGGTTGAGGTCCGCGCAAATGACCTGGATGTTAGTCTGAGGAAGCGGTGATTGAGAGAGTGCGAAACCGAGGAAAAGGTTCTGCAAGAAGGAGTGGGGCCACACAAAACGGAACAGGTGGTTTTAGAAGAGGAGGACAGGTGGCCCAGATATGGAGACCCAGGACTTGAGATCGAAGTTGCAGCAGACATGTTCTTTGAATGCCCTCAGAAATCAAACAACGATGCCGATGCAGATGGATAGTTGGGCTTCTAGTCCACAGCCACAAGCCGGGTCTCAGATTTCCCCCCGCTTCTTGCCTGCTTCTGACTCAGCTATGGTTCAATATTGTTGCCTCATGTTAATCACACGCTCAAATATCTGTTCCTGCACGGCTGTCATAAATTCAGTATCGCCGATCAATCACGTGTCGCCTAATACCGCTTTAGAGCCTGTTTGGGTATCCCCAAACCGTGGTTTCAGGAGCACTTTTCCGCAAAACGAGATAATCTCCTCCACATATTTACTCGTAATCCGTAAAAACACTTCTAAAACCATGGTTGGATCCAAAACACCCTTAGTAACCAGTATTGGCTATTGCTATTGCCTATTGGCGCTGCCCGCCGCTCTGTCTCTCTCTTGTTTTATTTATTTATTTATTTTTTTGGTGAAGTGTCTCTCTCTTGTTTTAGGCCAAACTGCCCGCTGCTCTGCCAAAAATAAAATATTGCAACTGGATCGTAAAGCACCCGCATCCGACCAAGTGCCGATCCATCCCGACACCTCGAAGTTGTTAATGGGCTTCTTATGCGATTTGGGCTCGCCCAACCTGATTCGGTTTGCTTTTTACAAAAGCAAAAAGAGAGACTGATTCACTTTTAATCTAGCTCAGAATAAAAATTTTACCAAAATAAAGCTTAGAGCTATAAATAAATAAATTTGTCCTTTTCTCACCTCATGAAATGAAATTGAACAACGTATTTAAAAACATTTTTAAAAGTTGATACACTGGCATTTAGTAATTACCAGAAGAAAAAAGCTTTTGTAAGATATATTATCGAGCAGATTTGATGTGTTTTAAAAATTGTTTAGTTATGATTTACATCTTGTGTTTAATAAAAATTATTTTTTATATTTATTATTTAAAAATAAAATTATATTTTAAGAATATTGATTGGCGAGAGGGATTTTTTTTTTCCTGATGGATAAATTCGTGTCATTGGAATTGCCACGGCAAATTATGGGCATTTTTTCACATTTGTGTGTGTTCCACAGGTTCAGTCCCACAAAAAAAAAAAAAAAAGCGTGTTCCCCTTGTTCGATTTCATTGGATCACCGTCACCGCCAACTACTTTTCGGCAACAGTGGCTTATACTACCTTCAGTCTTAATTATATGATCTTATTTGTAAATTACAAACAAAATTTTATAATTAAGACGGAAGCAATATATTCTCTCGGTTTGTTATTATAAGAACTTTTTTAAAAAAAATATTTTACCTTTTCACGACGAAACGCTCTGATCTGTATTAAATACTTTTTTCTATGCATGCTCATATATA